ACGGCGGGGGTGTCCGGCGGGGGGGCGGCCCCTTCTTCGGGACACAGAAGCGATCTGGTGACAGGTAAGTCGCCAGGATCGCTTCTGTTGTAAAGCCGACAGTCGGCTCTACAAATTTAAACAGACTCCCGGCGGCAAAAGTCGCCGGGAGTCTGTTTAAACAGCCCCGATGCTGGCGACGTACACTGTACGTCGTCAGTCACGAAGGGGTTAATATAGTAAAAAATTAAAACCCCAGTCACAGGCGAGAGGACGAGCGGATTTTTCAAGCCCTGCACATATACATACACACACACACACTGCCAGGGTGTATTTATTTTTAATTCACAGAGTTTAGCTTAAAGTACACAAAATTAACCTAGTGAATACTTTACCCGTTTTAAAGAATAGGTGTATACGGGCACCAGAAAAAGAATAGGTGTAAACGGGCACCATAGAGGAGAATAGGTGTAAAGGGGCACCATAGAGGAGAATAGGTATAAACGTGCACCACGGAGGAGAATAGGTATAAACGTGCACCATGGAGGAGAATATGTGTAAACAGGCACCATAGAGGAGAGTAGGTGTAAACGGGCACCATAGAGAAGAATAGGTGTAAATGGGCACCATAGAGAAAAATTAGGTGTAAACGGGCACCATAGAGGAGAATAGGTGTAAACGGGCACCATAGAGGAGAATAGGTGTAAACGGGCACCATAGAGGAGAATAGGTGTAAACGGGCATCACGGAGGAGAATAGGTGTAAACGTGTACCACGGAGAATAGGTGTAAACGGGCACCATAGAGAAGAATAGGTGTAAACGGGCACCATAGAGAAGAATAGGTGTAAACGGGCACCATAGAGAAGAATAAGTGTAAACGGGCACCATAGAGAAGAATAAGTGTAAACGGGCACCATAGAGAAGAGTAGGTGTAAACGGGCACAATAGAGAAGAGTAGGTGTAAACGGGCACCATAGAGAAAAATAAGTGTAAATGGGCACCATAGAGAAGAATAGGTGTAAACGGCACCATAGAGAAGAATAGGTGTAAACGGGCACCATAGAGAAGAATAAGTGTAAACGGGCACCATAGAGAAGAGTAGGTGTAAACGGGCACCATAGAGAAGAGTAGGTGTAAACGGGCACCATAGAGAAAAATAAGTGTAAACGGGCACCATACAGGGGAATAGGTGTAAACGTGCACCATAGAGAAGAATAGGTGTAAACGTGCACCATACAGGGGAATAGGTGTAAACGGGCACCATAGAGAAGAATAAGTGTAAACGGGCACCATGGAGAAGAATAAGTGTAAACGGGCATCATAGAGAAGAATAAGTGTAAATGGGCATCATAGAGAAGAATAGGTGTAAATGGGCACCATAGAGAAGGATAGATGTCAATGGGCACCATAGAGAAGGATAGATGTCAATGGGCACCATAGAGAAAAATAAGTGTAAACAAGCACCACAGAGAATAAAAGGTATTTTCATTGCAGTGTCATTGCACTGACATAGGACAACTGGCTGTTATGTGAAGGGGTTAATCACATAATAGAAATCACCAGCACTCAGATGACATCTCTCATCCAAGGTTGGAGTGCAGGTGATTTCCTATTAGGGGTTAATCACATGACATGATGAAGGCACAATTTCTTCTTCTAGTCTCCTGTAGCCTTATAAGTATGTATGTAACAAATTCCTTTTCCGAGACACGAGATATACTTCAATGGGGAAAGGACACCTATGGCACTCCAGCTGTTTAGGAACTACAAGTCCCATGAGGCATTGCAAGACTCTGAATGCCACAAGCATGACTTCCAAAGGCATAAGCATACTGGGATTTGTAGTTTCACGCACCTGGAGATTCAAAGTTGCCTACCCATGTACTACACCCCCTACAGTGTACACAATCAGACCACGAATACGACTCCCATCTACTCAGTACAGGTACATCCGGTCTCTCCAATCCATTACTTCCGAAATATAAAACTGAATCCCAGAATACAGAGAGGAGCTCCCGCAGCTTCCCCCTTGTGTGTCGTACCATACAGAGCAGCACAGCTTCTCTTCCAGCTCTCGCAGCGCCTCTCGGGTCCGGCTCCAGTCATCCATGTGTCGGATCATGACGGAGTCTCCGCTGTCCGGAGGTCGGTTCCCGGATCGGACTCGTAAAGGCATGGTGGTGGGTTCAGCACACAGGTCCGGGCGGAGACTTAAAAAATGGCGCGGAGCTGGCGGAGAGGAGTGGTTTCCAGGAGTTCATGGCGGTCATGTGTCCGGGCGGAGCGCCGATCTCGCAGTACTATGAGAGCTGCTGTATGGGGGAGTCAGTGTGAGGCAGAGGCAGCTCTCGCCGGCTCGGGGGGAGACGTGTAGATCGATTATGGGGGAAGGAGGTGTGTGGGGAAATTGAAGATTTATGGAGGGGAAATGTGTGGTTTAGGAAGGGTTGGGAGAGATGTGTGCATTAAAAAGAGGGGAAATGTGTGGATAATGGGGGATGAGCGAGAGATGTGTGGGTTATGGAGATTTATGATGGTGAGAGGAGGAGGTAGTGGATTATGGAGGGGGAAGTATG